TCTAAGAACCTGGACTATATGAAGAAGAACGTGGCATCAGGATTGGAGGAAGAATCATTAACAACCTGTGATACGCTGACGACACAACTTTGCTTGCTGAAAGTGAGGATGGCTTAAAGCACTTACTGATGAAGATTGAAGAATACAGTCTGCAGTGTGGATTACATCTCAATATAAAGAAAACAAAAATCCTTACAACTGGACCTATAAGCAGCCTCATGATAAATGGAGAAAAGATTGAAGTTGTCAAAGACTCCACATTGCTTGGTTCTGCAACTACACCAATGGAAGCATCAGTCAGGACATCAGACAACGTATGTTGTTGTTATGTGCCGTTTAGTCGGCCCCAACTCATAGCAGCCCCTCCTTGGGTTTCCGAGGCAGTATCACTATGGAAGTAGATTACCCAGTCTTCCTTCTGAGGAGTGACTGGTGGGTTTGAACTGCCAGCCTTCTGGTTCACAGTCAAGTGCCTTAGGCACTATGCTACCAGACGACGTATAGCACTGGGAAAATTGGCTGCTAAGGACCTCTTTCAAGTGCTGAAGAGCAAAGATGTCTCCTTGAGGGCTAAGGTGCTCCTGACACAAGCCATGGTATTTTCAGTCATCTCATATGCTGGACAATGAATAAGGAGGACTGAAGAAGAAGAGTTGATGCTTTTGAGCTGTGGTGTTGACAAAGAATGCTGAAAGCACTGTGGAGTGCTAAAAGAACTAACAGGTCTGTCCTGGAGGAAGTGCAGCCAGAATGCTCCTTGGAGGTGAGAATGGCCTGACTTCATCTCACATGCTTTGGTCATGTTGTCAGAAGGGACCATTCCGTAGAGAAGGATGACATGCTTGGTAAGGTGGAGGGTCGACAAAAGAGGGGAAGGCCCTCAATGAGATGGATTGACACGGTGGCTGCAGCGATGAGCTCAAGTGTAGCAAGAATCATGGAGCTGGTGCGAGACCGGGTGGTGTTTCATTCTGCTGTGCATAGGGTTGCTATGAATCGGAGACGACTCGATGGCACCTAACAAAAACAACAACTATTTATTTAGGAAGATGTAGAAGCAAATAAAAAGGTAGTTGCTATAAAGTAACTATAACGGAAAAATGCAGTGTATTACAGAAACACATTGTCAGGGTGTTGTTGTTATGTGCCGTCGAGTCGGCCCCGACTCATAGCGACCCCTCTTTGGGTTTCCGAGGCAGTATCACTATGGAAGAAGGATTGCCCAACCTTCCTTCTGAGGAGTGGCTGGTGGGTCAGGGTACCTGACCTGATTTGTGGACTAAGGAAAGGCTTATTGGAGAAGTTTTTGTGGGGAAAGTGAACAGCAGATATAAAGACTTGGAATTACCTCAGTTCTTCTCTTTGGAGGATGTAAAAGTTATTCATTCTGACTAGAGTAGATGTAAGGAGGAAAAATGGAAGGAATGATAAGTGGGCTTCTCAGATCATGCTGTTCAAGGTAAGCCTTGTGAGGGAGTCTAGACTTCATCCCTAAGGCATTCATGGCCATCGTAGGATTTTAAACAGATTTAGCCTCCATATTGATCACTCTGGTTATAATGTGGAGCAAGACTAGAGATTGTTAAAATGATCTATAGGCAAAACATCATTGTAGCTTGTATTAGGGAATTAAAACTGAGGGAGGATACAAATGGACACATTGTGGTGGCTTTTATAAGGCACAGAATCAGCAGGATTTGGTCATTGTATATTCAGGGGAGAAGGACAGAGAAAAAATGTTAAAAAGAATGATATCCAGCGTTCTAACATGACCAATTGAGTACATAGTAGTGCCATTTACCGAGAAAAGGAACACAGGAGGAAGAACATCTATAGAGGGAAAAATGAGTTCAGTGTGTGCAGGTTGATTTTGAGCCTGCTTGACACCCAAATTGAAATGTCCAATAGAACAGTAAGATCTATGTCTGGAGGTATTTTGGAGTCATCTGAATGGAAATAGCTGGACCTTGAAAGCATTCGAACAGGTTTGATCACCCAGGGCAAACAGAGTGTGAGAGGATGGCCTGGCATGGGAACTTTGAGGAGCGTCAGTTTGAAAAGGGGATATGGACTCACATACGAGACCAAAGAGAGTAAGTGGATAGAAAATGAAAATAATGAGGGAAGTGGTCACCGTTTGAGCCCTTTTCTTCACTTATTTCTCCCTTGATTTAGTTGTTATTTTCATTCTCCTACTTCACTCCCCAGAAGGAAGATGGGCAATCTACTTCCGTAGCGATACTGCCTAGGAAATCCAAGAAGGGGTCGCTATGAGTTGGGTCCGACTCGATGGCACATAATAACAACAACAACTTTATAATGAGAGCTGCAGTCTATGCTATGCCTCTATGCTATACAGCCCATAGAACGTGTCTTCCTTATGGCCTGTCATTACTAATAATACTAAATCAGAGAGTTTTGTGTTCTGGTTAAGTAATTCTGAATGTTAAGCAAAAGTGTTATGCTTTTGGTCATAAAAATAATAGATATTTTTGATAACCATTTTACTGTCTTTTTAATTTTATTAATGAAGCCTCTTGACAAACTAATTTTTTTATTTCACACATTCTTCTCTCTCTCCCCCCTTTTTTCCCTTCTCCCCACTTTACTGTAGGTGTGGCAGAAAAGACACAGCTTCTGAAATTGAGTGTACCTGCTACCTTTATGCTAGTGTCTTTAGATGAAGGACCAGGTCCTCCAATCAAATATCAGTATGCTGAATTAGGCAAGTTATACTCAGTAGTGTCACAGCTGATCCGCTGTTGCAATGTCTCATCAAGAATGCAGTCTTCAATCAATGGTAAAATAAAATGTTTCATTCTTTACAGTAGTTTTAAAATACTGTTAGGCATATATAGATGTGTAAATACAAATTAAGAGTCTGAAGGTCCATGCTTTGAAATAATCTATGTTCTGTGGTGAAAACTGTATATTGTTATTGTGCAGAAGCCTATCAGTTTTTCATTGGTAACAAATCTGTGTTCTAGGTAATCCCCCTCTTCCCAATCCTTTTGGTGATCCCAATTTATCACAACCTATAATGCCAATTCAGCAGAATGTGGCAGACATTTTATTTGTGAGAACAAGTTATGTGAAGAAAATCATTGAAGACTGCAGTAACTCAGAGGAAACCGTCAAATTGCTTCGTTTTTGCTGCTGGGAGAATCCTCAGTTCTCATCTACTGTGCTCAGTGAACTTCTCTGGCAGGTTAAAGGAAAATAGTTATTCATATGTTTATAATTTGATTTGTTCTTTAAATAAGTCATTCACCATGTCACCTGTTTATAGGTTGCATATTCATATACCTATGAACTCCGGCCCTATTTGGATCTGCTTTTGCAAATCTTACTGATTGAGGATTCCTGGCAAACTCACAGGTAAATATCCTTTTAAATAATTAAACTCCATCCAGGTTCTAGATATAACTTAGATTACTGCTTACCACATATTTTACTTCTTAGAAATCTATCATATGTTTTAGAAATTATCTTTAATCTCAAGAGTTCTATAGTAAATGATGAAAGTTTTACAAATTCCCTTCCTACATGGATGATAAACCAAACCCACTGCCATCGAATCGATTCCGACTCATAGTGACCCCTGTTGGGTTTCTGAGGCGGTAAATCTTTATGGAAGTAGATTGCCCAGTCTTGCTTCCGTGGAGTGGCTGGTGGGTTTGAACCACCAGCTTTTTGGTTAGCAGTCAGATACCTTAGGCACTATGCTACCAGAGCTCCTTAGTGGATGATAGTATAATAGTTTATTTTGGTAAACAACTTGAAATTTACAGTTTTAGTGGATTTTGTCAATGTCAGAATTTTATACCAGAAATTTGGTTTTCATGAGACTAAACTTAGTTGTTTCAACTTATAGCCATTTATTTTAGGAAGTATCCATTACTCTTTGATATTATCAAAGGATTTCAGATTTTTCTTAAGAGTTTATTTTAATGGGATCTTAACATCATTGTTCTCTTTTAAAGAAAATGATAAGCATTTATAGCTTTAAACCAGTTAGTCACCATCTCAGCTATCTTGTTTCATTAGAGCCAAGTGATAATGGTAAAGTAAATAGTGATGGATTAAATGATTGACATCTATTTTTGTGTAAAGAGATTAGTAAGATATTATTATGAATCATTGGCCCAAAATTGAAAGTATTTTTATTATAGTGCGCTCTTTCGTTCATTCAGTAAAAAGTGTTCAAATGTTTGTGGTGTATCTACATGGGCCCAGCACTGCTAGGCATCTGAGAACAAGGCAGGCAAAGATAATATTGATAAAAATGGCATTTGAAAACAATTTATACTAATGGGAAGAAAATATGTGGCAGAAATATTGAGTAGCATTTTATTATCACTTGATAAAACTAAAGGTAGAAACAGAAAATACATACTTTGATGTTTCAAATTGAACTAAAAGCCCATATGTAATTTCTCTTTCATCTGAAATGATTAAAATGTAAAGTTGAGAAAGTAATAATTTCCAAACAAAACATTGTATAAATACATGTAATACAAGAGGGAAAAAAAAATCCTTACCTTTTGAACTGGAACATTCCCTTTAGTAAAATATGCAGGCATTACCTCAGAGATGTAGGTTCAATTCCAGATCACTTGCAATACCACAAAAAAGTGAGTACCACGAATTTTTTTGGTTTCTCAGTGCATATAAAAGTTAGGTTTACGTTATATTATATAGTCTATTACGTGTGTAATTATGAAAAAGTGTGAAATATTGTGAGAATTACCACAGTGTTAACACAGAAATACGAAGTGAGCACATGTTACAAAAATGGCACTGATAGCTTGTTCAATGAGAGATTGACAGAGCCCTTTAAATTTGTTTAAAACACACACCCTCAAAAAATCATAAAACTCACCATTTTAAAGTGTACAAATCAGTAGCATTTAGTATGTTGACAATGTTGTGCAACCGTCCCCACCATCTAGTTTCTAAAATTTTTCTTAACCATAAGAGGAAACGTTATATCCATTAAGCAGTCACTTCCTATTCAGTATCTTCCTTTTGCCCCCTAACTGTTTTCTTTCTCTGTGGAATCACATATGTGATCTTATGTGACTGGATTCTTAGGTTTTGAAGATTCTTCCATGTTGTGGCATGTATCAGTACTTTATTCCTTTTTAGGCTTCATTGTATGGATATGCCATATTTTGTTTCTCCAGATGTCAGTTAATATTTGCATTGTTTCCACCTTTTGCTGTTGTGAATAATGCTGTTGCGAATAAATATTCATTGTTTGAACACTTTTGGGTGTATACTGAGGACTGGAATTGCTGCTAGGTAGTATTTTTAATACGAAAGAAAGACAGCATAGTTTTGCCCCTAAAATCATTTGTAATATTGGTTATTGAGGGGAAGAACAGGAAAATAGTGACCATGTACACCATTCTTTCGTAGTTCAGCAAGAGCTGAGATGAAATCATTGGCAAATGAGCCATATTGTACTATTGCCAATGAAAATTGCTTTACCTGCCTTGTATTCTCATATTAGAATTCACCTTAATTCTATATTGGCAAATTACTTCAACATTGCATAGTCATTGGTTCCTATCTTAGCCTTCTGAAGTGCAGTATTATTAAAAGAAGTTCACATTATTCTTAGTGTCCTGAATTTACTTCTAGTAATGTATTCAAATTACATGCATAGCAAAATCACTGTGGGTTGGTAAGAGCTCAGAGTCTAGAGTCAGACTGCTAAGCAGCCCCTCACTTGCTAGCTATATGACTTTGGGCAAGCTGTTCAATCTCTATAGAGAGGTTATATCATCTGTTAAAAGGTTTAATTGACTGTCATGTAGTGTTACATTAAATGACTGCATCAAAAACTTTCCTTGAATGGCACATAGTAGTATGCATTCAACAAATGTTAGCTGCTATTCAATATTAATGGTTTTGTTTTATATCTGGCTCTTTTTCAGAATTCATAACGCACTTAAAGGAATCCCAGATGATCGAGATGGGCTGTTTGACACAATCCAGCGCTCTAAGAATCACTATCAAAAAAGAGCATACCAGTGTATCAAATGTATGGTAGCTCTATTTAGCAATTGTCCAGTTGCTTACCAGATCCTACAGGTGGGAAGTTGTTTTGGTTTTTTTTGTTTTTTTTCCTTATAATTTTGTAGAAATCTGTTTAAAAGAATGTTTTCAGAATTAGCAATTGTCATTTTAAGTTAACATTGAAAAGCATTCCAAATCCTCTGAAATATGTACTTTTATTTTCTTTTGAAGGGCAATGGAGATCTTAAAAGAAAGTGGACCTGGGCAGTAGAATGGCTTGGAGATGAACTTGAAAGACGACCATACACTGGCAATCCTCAGTATACCTATAATAATTGGTCTCCTCCAATACAAAGCAATGAAACATCAAATGGTTATTTCTTGGAGAGATCACATAGTGCTAGGATGACCCTTGCAAAAGCTTGTGAACTCTGTCCAGAGGAGGTAAAAAAAGCAACCAGTGTGCAGCAAATAGAAATGGAAGAAAGCAAAGTAATTCTTTATTTTATAGGCCAGTGTTTATGTAATAGTGATTATAAAAAACAGTTATGTTCCAGTTTTGTTTGCTTTAGTGTGATTACTGTATTTGGTCTTAAATTAGGGGCTTAAGAGACCCTCCTTTTGGAGAAATTTATATGAAATGGTCTGATATGTATGTAGTATTTCTAAGAGAATCCAAATCAGGTTTTTTTCCTATTTGTTTACATGTAGTAATAGAAAAGTTGAGTAATGGGTCAGTTTTGGGGGTGTTTTAAGAAATTCATTTCAAATAGGAAGACGTAAAAATAAACTTGATCTTGCCTGCATAATTTTTATATCTCTTTAAATAATTAGGAGCCAGATGACCAAGATGCCCCAGATGAACATGAGTCACCTCCACCAGAAGATGCCCCATTGTACCCCCACTCACCTGGATCTCAGTACCAACAGGTAAACAGGAATCTGTGTTATGCCCAGAGCCAACTTTTTAAGCTTTGTTTAAAGGATGGTCAGATTTTCCCTTGTGACTATAAAAAATAATAATAATAATAATAGAAGGATGATCCAGACTAGCTTTAGGGGATGGAAGAGGAAGTATTGACATGAAGTCACATTGGCCCTGCTATGTTTTCCTTGTCCTTCTTGTGCTAGTAGTTAAAGTTAATAAAAACTGTGAGAATTTATATCTATGTACAAAAATGGCAGTCATTTCAACTTAGTGCAGAGGATTCAGTTGGCATTTCCTGTTAGGTAAGTGGATTCTGAAGACATTAAGATATGGCAGAGGAATAAGAAATTTCTGATAACTTTGCCTTTGGATTTCACTGATCTAAAAAATTGTTGGAAAAAATTCACAGATTTGCAGATTTCAGTAGATGATTAATTATAAAAAAAAATAACTGAAGAAAAATTTAAATGAAGAAACATTCTAAATGAGAACTTTTTATTCTAAAACACAGATGTGACTAGTTCACACACACCTTTTTGTGAGGCAGTGGTATTCAAACTTGAATAGACATCAGAATCCCCTGGAGGGCTTATTAAAACAGACTGCTAGGCCCCATTCCCAGAGTCTGATTCGGTAGGTCTGAGTCCTGCCCAATGATCTATGTTTCTAACAAGTTCCCAGGTGGTGGTGGTGGTGGTGGTGGTGGTGGTGGTGGTGGTGGTGGTGGTGGTGGTGGTAATGGTGATGATGATAATGATAATAATAATAATGACAATGGCACTGGTCTGAGGGTTGCACTTTAAGAATCATTGTGTGTCAGGGCATTCTTTATTTCTGTTTCAGGATAAAAGTAGAAGCATACTGCTGAATAGTTTGAAAATGAATATTTAACATTTTTATTTTCATAATACAGATAACAGAAAGTAAACCCTAAAATCTTCTTGGCTGGTGTGAATATAGAGAGAAATGATTGCACTGTGTAGGGTTTAAGGGTTTAAAAGATTGAAAAAACAAATCTTTTAAAATTCACCTAGGAAAAAAGTTACCTGCCTTAACCCTGAAAAGCTCATACATTAATCATGCCTGATTAACCCATTATCTTCAACATTGTTTTGTTTTTATTAACATTCTTCTGTGTTCAGGGTTATTCATTATGCAGATCTCATAAGATTTGTCATGTGTAAGTTCCAAAGTACTTGAAAGAGTCAAAATAGATGTGTTCCAGCTCACAAATTATGTTTTGGGAAGATCTTTGACTAGTAAAACAAATTTAGCTCTTTTATCAGACTTGGGTCTAAATAATTTTGGTGCCAAAAATCTATACACACTTACACGATCTCTGCTCTTAGTTTGGACTTTGGGATTTAGATTCACAGTATCCTTTCTTTTGCAATTCAGTTATTTTTTTACCTTCATAATCTTATTGAAAAGTCAAGTCCTAGTAATAAATGTTTATACCAACTTCAGCCCATGATTTTGAAATTTAGTGCAAAGTTTTAACATCCAGGTGTCTTCTCCCCTCCAGAATAACCATGTGCATGGACAGCCATATACAGGCCCAGCAGCACATCACATGAACAACCCTCAGAGAACTGGCCAACGAGCACAAGAAAATTATGAAGGCAGTGAAGAAGTACCCCCACCTCAGACGAAGGATCAGTGAAATGCACATAATTAACTGGTTCCATCAAGACTGTGCACCCAGGCCTTACAGTCCAACCTTTTTCTGTGTCTGGCTAATATTTAAAACTAGAAAAACTATTCCTAATCAACATGGAGTGGAGAGTTTATTCACTGTCTTATCTGCAGAAATTTGCTGTCAATATATAACCCGCCTGCAGTGGAAAGTGTATAGTGTTTTGTAATAAATGGCCTGATGCTAATGTGTAAATGGCAAAGGTGTATATAGTATATTAATGTTTGACTGTTAATTCCTAAGCAAGAAACTTTTTTTTCTTGATGAGACTCACAGATCTATGAAAACTACAAAAATTAATTTTCTTGTTATTCCCGCTGCATTCTGCAACCAGTGTTGCCTGCCTCATGGCAGTTGGATCAACTCCTTTAGAAAAACAAAAATAAACCAACAGCAACAAAACAAAGCCCATCCATGTCAACCACACTATAGTTCCATGTTAATTCTTGCCACTGGAGTCAGTTTTGCTATGAACAATGTAAGGCTGATAATCTTTGAATTATTTGGTTGATGTGGAAAATTGGTGATGTAACATTGTTTCTAGATCTTTTTCATTGCCTTTTTATTCTGATACTACTAGGTTAATCACTTTGAAGCTATAGTTATGCTGTAACATTTAGCATGGCTTCACACCAAGTTAGTGTAGCCAATGAGGAAAAAATTACTATAATGACAGCAGTTGTCCCAAAGTGGCAGCTGTATTGCTCAGAGCTTTTCCTTCTTACACCTAGACTATAAAATATAAAACAAGGGAAGAAACATGACAGACGGGCGGTTTTCAGTTGCACATCTGTTCGTTACATCTATTGTTTGACAGTTTGATTGCTGGGTGGGTAAAGAACACTTAAGTTTCAATAATGGGAATTTTAAAAGATTTAAAACAAATATGCAAAACTTTGCTAGGCCAGGATGCTTGGAGCATAATAGAAGACTGTATTTGGTGTGCTTGTTTTGTTTCTTTGGTAGAAGCTTATTAGGTGAATCTTCTAAAACTTTCCTTCGGCTGGATCCCAGTGAAGCGGAAGTCCTCAGAATCCCCAGCACTTGGAGCACCACTGCACCAAGAGGGCCGGCTGATTTTCTGCTCAGTCACAATTTTACTTGAAAGCAAAGAATTGTCCTAGCTCCTTTTCCATTATTCCAAAAATTTTAACGTTCGAAGCAGGGTTTAATTAAAAAAGAACTACTTGTTTAGTCAGTATAATTGAGGTATCACAATTTCAGAATAAACATTTGATTAAAGATTCTAAGGGACTCAGTTAATACTGTATTTAAAAAAGAATTGGTAACTTGAATGTGTATAATTTTTTGAAACCTGTCTAAAAACCAAATACCCCTGCAAACAGATACAGCCCACCCTAGTCTATTTAAATATTTTGCTGTTTTATTTTATAGAAATTATTTTGCTGAATTCACAAATAGAATTTGATTTAAGAAGAACTTTTTGTCCTGTGGTGTGTGTTTTTTTTTAAAGGACTGCATATTAAAATCAATTCTGTGCATAGCATGCCAAGGCATGCCACTGAATTCAGAATGTCAGTCACCTTGAGTTTTTGTGCACAGAAAGATTTGACCTTCAGCCCTTTACTAAAGATTCAGAAAACTTAGGGTGTTGACACTGTAAAGGTTTCTTAACATAATCAATCTTGTACTTTTTGTATGTTTTTTATATACATGTATATTTAATGAGCACAAGCTTGGTTGTATTTTTTACAATTCAGTTAATAGGGAAATGTTTTGTCAAAGGCTATAGTTGGAATTGAACAAAGCAGAAACAAAATTGAGAGTTGCGTTATTTTGTGATTAAAAGGGGCAGGTATTTAAGAAAAAGCTTTGGGTATCTTATTTGCAGTACTCTATATACTCCATCTATGCTTCTAGGCTTTTTGTAATATTAGGGAATTTTGACACCAGATAGATTGTTTTTACTTTAAGCATAATACATCTGAATTTTAAGTTGAGTGAAAGTTGTACAGTGCTTGCAGTTCCAGTTGGTCATTTTAATTTAAAACTTCCTCAATTACAGGCTTCCTCAACAATGAGCAAAATAAGTTAACTTTATTTGGACAAATTACTGCTGTCAAATACCCTTCTCACCATATGAGAGGTGATTTTTATATTTCTTGTTCCTTAAGAAAAATATGTACTTAACTTTGCCAGTTTAATGACTTCCTAGACATGAAAAAACTTGACGTTTTAAACGGCTGTGAATTTTTCTCCTTGGAGGGAGATCCCATCCTGGGTTGCTTTGAATTTGCAGGCCACCTTGTTCCAGGTGAGGGCTTGTGAATCATTTGTTCCTCCATTTGAAGTAAGTGCTGTTGGTGTTGTGACTGGGAGGAGCAAGGGAAAGTGAAGGGAGAGACGATTGTTTTTTGTTTGTGCAAATTATTTTCTATATTTAACGCCTAAGCAAGCATTAATGTATAGCCAGAAATTTTTAAGATGCATGTTCTTATAAGAGTAACATAGTGGTGATTTGAGGTCTTTTTTCTGGACATAAATGGCACATTTTCAATTTCAAGTCTTCAAAGTGCCTAAAGATTATTTCATTTTCCCTCAACTGATTTCTTGAGCCATATATTTCCTACTTTAAATGTTTGTTGAGGAATCCGTAGTCTTCCTTTGAAAGAAATACCCCCAGAATTCTAAATGGCATAATTACTTTATAGAAGACAGTAGAATCTGTTAATGTAAAGACTGAAGATACTTTAGTTGTAAAACTGTGTGAACAAGGGTTTTGCCCTGTTGGATCTAAGTATTTCAGTGCACAACTTGGCAAAAACCATATTGCTGCTGTTCAGAGCACTCCACCAACCAAATCTTCACGCTTACCATTGTAGAGCCAGAAATAAGAGCTTAGTCGTATTTGGAGGTTTTGTCTTTCGTTGATTTTTTTTCCCTCAGTGATGATTTCCCAAATATGTGTCTTTTAGCTGTTCAGTATACACATGTAGAATTACCAAAATGTTTTCTATTTTTTTCATGGTTAACTTTTTGTAGTAAATGATAACAACTTAAGTATATCAGCTTAGTAATAGTGAAAGGGAGTCCCTGGGTGGTGCTAACTGAAAGGTTGATGGTGTTCAAGTCCAGAAACACCTTGGAAGAAAGGCCTGGAGAGCTCCTTCCAACAAATTGGCCGGTGACAACCCTGTGGAGTACAGTTCTACTCTGACACACGGGAGGTTGCCAGGAATCACATCTGAGGGTAGGTAGTTAATAGTTAAAGAGATTGAGAGCCTTTTTTTAATTTAAAAACATTTGTAAATGAGAGCAACAGTTAATATTTTTAGATGACTAGTCCAAAATAGTTCCTTTCCGTTTTTTATTACTATTTTTCCAGTTTATCATATTCTCCCATAAACGATTTTACTTTCCTGAGTTTTATGGTTAATTTGGTGGATAAATCCTGCCTTATTTAGAATTGTAACTGATAATTGCCTTTTCATTATAAGTGCCCAATTTTGGTCTCTAATTTGATGATACTACATACTGCACAGAACCTAAAACAACATCCCTCCCCAGTTTTTATGTTACCAAGAAAACATTCAGTACTGCTTTTATAGTAGGGCTTGACTGAAATCAATCTACACTTACCTATATGAGTGTTTGGTATTTGACGATAAGGTTTGGATGTGCTAAATCACTACAGAAGTGCTAAATGTATTAAAAAAAAAAAAACTTGCTACCGACTGTATTTATAACGATTATTTTACGTTTGCCTAAATGTAGCACTCTTCCTCCAAATTTGTAGGTGTAAGAAAAAAGGGGGAGCATATTTTAAACTCAAAAATGAATTTTTTAAAAAATTTGAAATCTATATTCCCAAAAGGAAACTTCAGCCACCCAAATCATTACACACTTTTCAGCCTTTGACAAGCCAATAGACTGATGTGCAGATTGTCCACAGCTCCTAAGATTTAGCATATATCCAAAAATAAAACTTTATAAATTAAATTTCGGTTTTCCCTTTTTATTTGTTGTAAGATTTCTAAACAAAAGGTAAATGAAGTGTAGTAGATTTAAAGGGAATTTTAAAAGGGAAGTGTTAAGTTGAATTCAACCCTCATTTTGCAGATCCAAAGTGTTAACATCTAAAACAGTAAAAAAAAGTTATCCTGGTTACTCAATAATTTATTCTAGCACCAAGATTTGGCAAACAGTTTGGTGTTTAAAGGTTCACTTAAATAACTAGAAATGAAGTTGGTCACATGTTTTGAGGGAACTAGAAGTGAAAATAAAGTTAATTAGCAGATTCCATTTGCTTGGTTTCTGAATTTTTGAAAGGCATTTGCGGTGTTCCTAAAAGGATACATGACTTCCATAGAAACCTATTGATGCTTCCCTCAAGTTGGGTTACTCCAAGGACTACTGTTAAAAGAGATGTATCCCAAATCGGGATTTATTTATTTATTTATAGTAGAATTTGCCTTTATTAGACAATGGAAGAAGTTAATGGCAATAAGGAGATGTAAAACGAGTTAAAACTGGTATGTGGAGGGGGTGGGCAGAGAGGACCAGGAAGGCTCACTTGTTCTTTGAGCTGACACTTTGTCCTAGAGAAGTCGTTTTTTTTTTTTTTAACCAGTTTCAGTTTCTCCAAATCGGGTTTTAGCTTATAGTTTTTTGTTTTGTTTTTTTCTTCCCCACTCCCAAAATCAGAAGACAGAAGTTTTTTTAGTGACTTCCTCCAGTTGACTCCATTTGAATTTGGGTTTTATCTGTACATCCCAAAGTTTAAACATCTTCAGAAAATTGATTACATAAAAAGGTTTTTAAAGACTCATTTTCTTTAAGAATGTGAACAAAATCTCAAGGAAGATGTTCTAAAACTCCACTAAAGCTTTATGAAGCAAATTTTAGACATGAGAAATACCAGTTTTTAAAAGTCATGTCATTTCATTGAAATGTACAAAATTCAAGAAGAGTTAAATTAGTTGTCAACTGAAATAAAAGAACAGAGGTCGTCTGATTGTGCTCCATTACTTAGAACAATCCATTTCATCAAATCAGAGATCCCATTACCAAAGGACACTGCTGCCAATAGAACTGACATCGCTTCAATCAGAAAACACCCTTTCAGGGACATTAAAATGTGGGGAATGTGAATTCTAGAATCAGTGTAGAAGTGGGACTAGCTGCGGGATCAAATGTGGGGCCTTTCCAAAGGAGACGATTTCATCATTTTCCATTTGGTGGAGCTCCATGCCATGGCAAATGCTGTCATTTTACACCTGGAAGTGTGTTTTAAATTGTTTTTGTATGTGATTGTTAACAAAGCTGGGCAGTTTACAAGTTGAAGAAGCAGCTTGTGGGAACTGAACCTTTCAAAAGTCATGAAACTTAATGTAGTAGCCTATATAAGCGG